GGGTTCCCTCGGCCTGGTCTGTGGGATTGGGCCAAAACCAGCTCTCCAACATCCCCTGAGGGGTCCCAGATTGTGAGAGGGCACAGGCCAGGCCAAGGGACCCCACCGGTGCATGATTGGGGCCGGGGAGGGACACAGGAGGTTGGCCAGCCAGGGAGGGACAGCAGGAGGGCTCCAGGGTGTGTCCAGCCCATCTCGCTCAGTCCTGATCAGCCAGACCCCAGCAGCAAGCTAACCTAGCGTTCAGAGCATCTGTCCCCTGGTGGTCAGTGCACATCATAGTGAGTGGTTGAGCGGCCTTAGCATATCATTAGCATATTACTCTTTGATTGATTTAATGGCCGACCAGAAGACCCGGCACTTAGCATATTAGGCTTTTATTATATAGGATATATACATGTGTATTGTATATATACAATATACAGATGAGGAACCTGAGAATCACAGGGTAAAGTAATATGTCCCAGGTCACATAGATAGAAACTGAAAGACCTGTGATTTGGGGTCTCTATCCACTTCTCAGTCACCCTCAATTGTAGACCTTCCCCAGTCTCCTGGAACCTCAGAGCCTCGAGGCTGTAACTGTCTTGCATGACCAGGGCATCCTCGGTGCCGGCACACAGGACTCTATCAGAACCAGTGACTAGATCCTGATGTTCAAGGCTAGCATCATGCCACCTTCCTAGCAGCTCACTTCCCATCTTGAGATGACTCTTGATTTGTTTGTCCTCTTGATAAGTATGTGCTGCTTAAAACTCAAAGTTCTCCCATCTTTTATCCTTCTGCCCATTGGGAAAGGCCACTCATTTCCTTGCTCAGACAGCTGGTTTAGGGAAACCGTACAGAGGAAAAGGGAACAACTTGTCCATTGAACTGCCAACCAGGAACACGAGTTCTATTGGAATTCTCTGCACAGGAAAATGCCCAGCCTACTTACAAAGCAAGGGAGTGGCCCAGGGAAAACCAAATACAACATAGTCCTTTTCTTGTGCTGCCTCCCTCACTTACATTCTCACCATCTTAATTCTCTTTGTTTCATCCTTAACTGAAGCAGGAACGGCTCTTGGGCAGTGTAATTCACCTGTATTAGACAGCCCCAACATGGCTCAATGCTCATAACTCCATCTGCTGATAAAAGTCAATTTGACACCAACCCTAAGCTGTTATTTTTCAAATAACAATGGTAGCATGTAATTAGAAATTAACCTGGTGCTTGCTTCCACATAACAACGTACAGCACACTAATAGTTTCCTGACTAAAGGAAGGACCGACATCCAGCACAGTTGCCACATTTTAAATGAGCTGCACGCGAGTGGTGTCTGATTATGCATAACACTCTGTCGTTAATTGCTTGTATTTCAAGTGGCTGGGAGGGTCAGCTGGTCTTTAGTCCTTCCGAGTAGGACAGCAGATTAGGTTAAGTCTCTGTCGGGCTATCACAATTGGTTTGTAAAGATGACTTGTATAGCCCAGCCAGTGTGGCTCAGTAGTTGAGTGTCCACTATGAACCAGGAGGTCATGGTTCAATTCCTATGCAGGGCACATCACATACCCATGTTGCAGGCTCAATCCCCTGTGGGGGTGGTGCAGGAGGCAGCTGATCAATGATTCTCTCTCATCATTGATGTTTCTCTCTCTCCCTCTCCCTTCCTCTCTGAAATCAATACATTTTTTAGAAAGAGGGGAAAAAATATTTTCTTATTTCATTAAATAGTCCAAGATACTGTTTGTTTAAAACAATTAGAATATCTCATTCTAAAGTAAATTTTTTTAAGTTGTGGCATTTAAATCACTTGAATTTTACCCATTATTTTGATAGTAATTCATTTTTCCTTATTGTTCAAAATGTTATTGACAAGTATCTAATGTCTTATGTTAGTCCAATTTGTTGTGAAAATGTTACCTGTATTATAAGTTAAATACTTGTAAAAATAAATAAATAAAATAAAAAATAATTAAAAAAGAAAGAGAGAAAAGCTGCTTCACATCTCCCCGCCCCCACATTGGTGACCCTCGATCATCCTCACACGGGGAGATGGCAGGAAAGCTAGCAATCCAGTGTGGTTTAAGGCGGGAACGCTGGAGTTCAAGTCCAAGCTCTGGCTTAAATGATGGCTCTGTGGACCGCCAATATCGTGACCCTCACCTCTGTGAGGCTCAAGTGCCTTATTGTGAATACGGAAACTCAGGGAAATAACTATGCTCAACTTCCCAACACCATGCCTGACACAGCAGGAATTCAGTAAAGGCTAGTGAGGCCTCCATTGCCGTCAATAACCACCTCCTGGTATGCAGGGCGCTGGCACCTTTGCAGGGACTCCTGGCATAGGGGCAGGGATAGACCTTTCCCAGTGACTGGTGTACACTCTTGTGGTCTAAACTGTGATGGAGGTGGTGGTGGTGGTGGTGTGTGTGTTCATCTGTTTGCATGTGGATTGGGCTTTAACAATGTTGCAAGCTCGGTAATGTTTGGGAAGCATCTACTGCTTTTCTGAACCTGACTTTCCACTTCAGTGAAGAAAGTAAACAAGAGGAATGCTAGGGAGAAAGGGTGAGAAGAAAGGAGGGAGAGAGAAAAAAATCAGAATGAACAGTGTCAAGTCTCCAAATGCTCGAGGTTACTGATGGATCTTAGATCTACTCGGAGAGCTGAGCAGAGGCCCCAGGAGGCAAAGAACAGTGAACCAAGTTTCTGCATGCTAGCTGGTTTTCAGCACCGCGTTTTCTCATCCATTGCCAACGCCTGCCCCCTTGTGGACAGTCCTCAAACTGCTTGTATTTTCTAAAATACCAGGGAACGGAAAGGCTCACAAGGAGAAAATGTGTTAGGCTTTCAGAGGTTCCCGTTGCCTGCAGGGTAAAAATCCCTAAACACAGATCCTTCGTGATCCGTCCCCTGCCAACCAAGACAGCTCCGCACCGTGCCAGCACTTTATGCTCCAATAATAAGATTCTCTATTCCCCCAACAAAAGCGTTGATCAGAGACCAACCGGGTGATCGGGCCAGGGTTCAAACCCCGACTTCATTTCTCCCTAGCTGTGTGACTCTGGGTAAGTTACCTAACTTCTCTCGGCTTGCACCCCATTTGCAAAGTGCGGATAATCACAGCACCTCTCCTAGAGTTGTAGAGGTGACTGAGATAAAGCATGAGAAACATCTTACAAATGCAATACCCTTCACCTGCTATTTGTAAGCTCATCGTGTTCTTTCCACCTCTGGGCCATTTGTTTAGCGAGCATTTATTATGAACTACGTGGATGACAAATAAGGCTGGTTTTTAAAGACCTTCTAGTCAGCTGGAAGAGAAATAACTATAGATACATAATTATTCTTTTTAATTTTGGCAAAGGCAGTAGTAAAGTTAAAGATAGTTCGAGATTCCCCCCAAAAGCAAATCTCAGATAAGGGATCATAGACTTTATTTGGGGAAGTAGTCCTTGAACGCCACCTCCAGCCTGTAACAGAGGAGAGACAAGATCTGGAAGAGAGTATGGAAGAGCTGGACATTTCCCCTTTCCCTTCACTCTCAGAGAAGGGGCGGGAGGGGAGGTAGAGACGTGTGCTTTCCCACAGGCCAGATGTGGCCCAGGTGGGAAGAAGCCAACCTCGAGCCATCCCAAAAGGGACATTGGCCAGCAGTGACCTAGAAGGACCCAGTGACCCAGCACAGGTGGCAGCCATGCACACCTAGGGCTGCAGGTTACACCTGCCGGAGGAGAAAACTGATGTCCAGGGTCGTGGGCAGAGGACCCCAGGTGATGAACGCTTTGGAACTAGACAGAGGAGCGGGTGGTGACGGATCATGAACATACCAAATGCCACTGACATTTTCACTTTAAAATGATTAATTCTATGTGATGTGGCTTTATCTCAATAATTTTTTAAGAATCAAAAAAGAGCCTGGCCAGAGTGGCTCAGTGGTGGTGCGTCAACCTAGGAACCAGAAGGTCACAGTTCACATCCTGGTCAGGGCACATGTCCAGGTTGCGGGCTCAATCCCTAGTGTGGGCCATGGAGGAGGCGGCCAATCAGTGATTCTCTCTCATCATTGATGTTTCTCTCTTTCCCTCCCTTTCTGAAAGCAGTGAAAATGTATTTTAAAAAAAGAAAATCCATGGTACAGGTCTTTATGAACAGCAATCTGGTGCCCAGGGTTCTGGGCTCAGTTCTGCCACCTACTGGCAATGAAGATGCTAAGTCAACTCGGTTTCCTCCTGTGTAAAATGAAGGGTACGACCCATCACTGGTTCTCAGTGAGGAGCAGCCTGCATCGTCACGTGGAGCGCTGCTTCCAAAGGTACAGGGCCAGCCGGCCGGCCACCCTCAGATTCTGACGTGCCCAAGGGAGGGTCGTGCCTGTAACTGTGTTGAAAAACGTACTTCAGGCCCTGGCTGGGTAGCTCGGTTGGTTAGAGTAGTGGTCACCAACTGGTGGTCCGTGAGGTCTGAAAGGTTGGCGAGCACTGGGTTAGAGCACTGTCCCGATATTCCAAAGTTGTGGGTCCGATCCCCGGTCAGGGCACATATAAGAAGCAACCAATGATTGCAGAAGTGGGACAACCAATCGATGTTTCTCTCTCTCTCTCTCTCTCTCCCCACCTGTCTTCCTCTCTCTCTAATATAAAAAAACAAAACAAAATCCATTTCAGGGTTTGAGTCTACCCCAGTGATGGCGAACCCTTTTGAGCTCGGCGTGTCAGCATTTTGAAAAACCCTAACTTAACTCTGGTGCCGTGTCGCATATAGAAATTTTTTGATATTTGCAACCATAGTAAAACAAAAACTTATATTTTTGATATTTATTTTATATATTTAAATGCCATTTAACAAAGAAAAATCAACCAAAAAAAATGAGTTCGCGTGTCACCTCTGACACACGTGTCATAGGTTCGCCATCACTGGTCTACCCCCTTGCGAATACAACAGACTAGAGCCGCTAGCAGCCTGTGACTCTAGCACACAACTGTGTATAAGACGTGCTTTGATTACAGAAGATAACACAATCAACGAAGTGCATTTATTAGGAAGATAACTCCAAGTCATCACGAGTGGCGACCGCACAGGGAAAAGATGCCTGACAGAGTCCACGGATTCCGCTTATACCACAAAAGGAGTTTTAAGGCAGTTTAATTCAACGCTGCAAAAACTACATCTGTGACAGAAACATAACACTCAAATGTCCCCAATGCCAACAAATCTCTGAACCAGTCAAGCCGACAGTCACTGTCAGGGGCAGATAAACAGTTTCAAAAGCCACTCAACGTGACGCCCACCCAGAGGGACCCAAACCTAGGTGGTTAATACAGATGGACCACAGCGCCACCTGTAGGCCTCCACACACACGGTTCTATTTCACATGAACACTTTACATTTTGTCTTGGGAAAGCAAATGCACATTAGGTGAGAGAAAAACAGGTGTCACCATCTCGAACCACAAACAGGACTACAGAAAACACGGGGCCAGACGCGGCTACACTGAGATACGCTGCCTTTTCTGGCAGGCCCCTCGCAGGCACTGAGATGAAGCTTAAAAATACGCGGGGGTAAGTTCCGTCTTCCCCTCCGTTGTCACCACCTGGATCAGGCTCCCTGAGCTTGGCCGGTTTTTCTCTGTGATCCAGTCGTGGAAGGTTCTAGAACAAACAAGAAAAGCGTCACATTTTAAAAGCAAAAATCTAACATGTGCTTATATTCCCATCAACGGCTTGGGAGCCGCCATGAAAAGCCACTAAGGCAGTGGTTCTCAACCTTCCTAATGCCGCGACCCTTTAATACAGTTCCTCATGTTGTGGTGACCCCCAACCATAAAATTATTTTCGTTGCTACTTCATAACTGTAATTTTGCTACTGTTATTAATCGTAATGTAAATATCTGATATGCAGGATGTATTTTCATTGTTACAAATTGAACATAATTAAAGCATAGTGATTAATCACAAAAACAGTATGTAATTATATATGTGTTTTCCGATGGTCTTAGGTGACCCCTGTGAAAGGGTCGTTCGACCCCCAAAGGGGCCGTGACCCACAGGTTGAGAACCGCTGCACTAAGGCATCCCGGACACATAACCAGGTCCCCATGATTTCAGCACTTCACTCCTTCTACTTTTCGAGTGGCAGAAGCTGGCAAGATTTGAACGTTCATTTTTGTATTTTCCTGCATTGTTGGAATATGTTATAACACAGTGGTATGATTTTACGTAATTTAAAAAAAACACTTTAGCCCTAACCGGTTTGGCTCAGTGGATAGAGCGTCAGCCTTCGGACTAAAGGGTCCCGGGTTCGATTCTGGCCAAGGGCATGTACCTTGGTTGCGGGCACATCCCCAGTAGGCAGTGTGCAGGAGGCAGCTGATCGATGTTTCTCTCTCATTGATGTTTCTAACTCTCTATCCCTCTCCTTTCCTCTCTGTAAAAAAATCAATAAAAAAATTTTTTTTAAAAAAGCACTTTAGTTCATACGCTGCTATACTACCTTCCCAGAAATTTGAAACAGAGAAAGAAGAAACTCATTCTTTTTTTTTTTTTTTTTTGTACAGCAAACATGTAAGGAACACCTGCAGCTGTATCAAGCAATGGGAAAAAAAAGTACAAAAAATGGACTTTTACAATAAAATACATTAAATGCTAGAACAGGGGCATTTACTAACTCTATGTGGGGAGGGGCAACCAACCCTGCTTGAGGGCGTCAGGGAGAAAAGGCATCAGAAACCCAGGAGGTTGAACACAGAGCTGATGCTTTTTAAAACCTCTCCTGTGGCTGTTGAGTACACCATCCCTCTACCAGTCCCCCAGCCGGGACTCTGCACCCCCTTTAACCGGACAGCACTCAGAGTTCCTGGGACATTCCTGAGTGCCAGGCTGTGCCTTCTAGACCAGAACTGAAGTTCAACTGCCATGTCTCCGGAGCTCCATCCTGAGTGTCGAACAAGCCCGGGGAAGGGACAGGCTCCAAAAGCCAAGCGCCACAGAAACTCCCTAACATGCTGCTATAGGTCATGACCCTGTCTCTGGGGGCGGGGCAGGGCTGGGGGACACTCTCCCGGCCCATGGATGGACCCCCCCCCAACTGTATAAGATTCACACTGATGTACCATGTACACTCAGAGGGGCACAGCGAGGGGCTGGAGCCGCCCAGGCACTGGCATTAGTATTTCTGTGATACTCACTCCACGAGGAAGTCCAAGGGCGTCCAGGAGCTGAAGTCGGCCTCGGGCATGGACTTCCTGTTCATCGGGGTGTCGAGGGTAATCCTGCGGTGCAGAGATAAGCCTGTCATTTGTGTCTCCCCTCGGCAGCCCGGCCTCCTCGGCCAGGAGAACACACCGAGAGCCCCCAACACCACGGGTGGCAGCATCGCATGTGGAGGCATCACGTGGACAATCAGAGCAAGGCCAGGAAGCCGCTGCACACACAGAGGTCAAGTCCGAGTGTAATTCAGGGAGGCGCTTTGTGAACCCCCCGTTACACAGACAGGAACCAAATGGAAGAGCCACATTTTGCCTTATTTTGTTAAATACAGTCTTGCCCGACCGGCATGGCTCAGTGATTGAGCACTGAGCATTGACCTATGAACCAGGAGGTCACGGTTAGGTCAATTCCTGGTCAGGGCACCTGCCCAGGTTGCGGCTCGATCCCCCGTGGGGGGTGTGCAAGAGGCAGCCAATCGATGATTCTCTTTCATCATTGATGTTTCTCTCTCTCCCTCTCCCTTCCACTCTGAAATCAATAAAAATGTATCTTTTTTTAAAAAAAAGAACTACAAGTATTCAAATAAAATGTGTGAACTAAGCTTAATCAGGGAGAAAGGGGAAACAGATGGGAGGAAGAAAAAAAAAACCAAGAAAGAGGCAGGACAGACGGACCCGCCCATCAGCCAGTCCACCACTCTGGCCGCCAGGCTTACCCAACACCGGAAGAAGGCTCTTCAGGGGTGAATTTTAGAGCCAAGGTGAGGGCACACACGAGTCCCTGGGGAAACGGCTCCAGGCCACGGGGACTCTAGGCAGAGGTGGGCAGAGGGGGCAGAGCACTTACGGCAGCACCGCGATGGCCGCAGCCCCGGGCGGCATGCCGCTGTTCTTCCCCGCGAGGCTCTGGCACAGCTGATGGACGGCGCCCTTGGCCATGCCGTAGCCGATCATCCCTGGGAAATGGAGAGAAAACGGTTCAGTGAGCACTGGCCACCGCTGGTGTGCCCGAAGGCCACCACGCCAGGGTCCAGAGGAGGCCGGGAAGAAGGGCAGGATGGACATCTATGGAGAGAGCGTGGAAGGCACGTAACGTTTCAAGTGCACCCACTGTCACCTGACAGTTAACGTTTATCACAAAAGCTGTAAGTTGAGCCTTTTTATTTTTATTGCTGAGAACATCAAGGCTCAGACAGGGTAAGTGACACGCCCAAGCTCACACACACACACACACACACACACACTTGCACTGACACCCCCCCCAGAGGTGAAGGGCCAGGCAAGAGCTGGGTTCTGAACCCCCAGATTGTTAATTGCTTGTGAGCAAAATCGAGCTGTCATTTGGAGTCAGGCCGCACAGGTTCAAATCCAAGCTCTTCCACTTACCACTAAAGAAATCCTGAACTAGTTCTCATTGCCTTGCTAGCCTCAGTTATCCCACCTGTAAAATGGGAATGAAGTACTTAATTCTGAGCTCAGCACACAGTAGGTGCTCAATAAATGTTTCCCATCAAATTCATAGAAGTAACATGCCCAGGCATCCATCTCCCTGGGTAAAGTGTGAGCAATGCTGACATATGTATACAACGCTGCCCACTAGTCTGCGTTTGCCCCCACTGACCAGTGAATGCTTGCTGACTGAACAAGGCGAGCCTTTACTTAGACCCGGTTTCTGCCTGCTCTGCAGACATGTGGCAGGAACAGGGTCTCTCCTCTCCACAGTCCCCCACACACCTAGCTGTGGATGCTCACTAAATGCTGTGAACATCTCTCCTCCTCCACAAAACTTGTTCAGGAGTCAGCAGCCTCTTTAAAAGCTCCCAGCAAGCATGCTCTTGAAAGCAAAACAGCTGAGGAGGCAGCAAAGGTCCAGAGGGAGGTGGGGATCACAGCCCTGCCGAGGGACCAATCACTAAACTGCTTCCACAGCAACCTTGGATTGCAAAAGCAGGTCAAGGTCTCAAACGGTTCTTTAGAAGCATAAGCAGAATATTTCACCATCCCAGGCTTCTCTGTTTAATCAGGGGCCGGGGGCCACCAGTGGTAGGAAAATCGGACAAACTCTGCAGGGGTTCAAAGAAACCAGCTTATGAATCTCCTTCATCCAGCCCCGACCCCAGCACACTCCAGGGCTCACTTCATTCCATTCAAACAACATGAGAGAGGATCTGATGAAGAAAGAAACAAGCGCCCAGCTGGCGTGGCTCAGTGGTGGAGTGTCGACCTATGAACCAGGAGGTCATGGTTCGATTCCCAGTCAAGGGCACATGCCCAGGTTGCGGGCTCGATCCCCAGTAGTGGGCATGCAGGAGGCAGCCTATCAATGATTCTCTCATCATTGATGTTTCTCTCTCTCCCTCTCCCTTCCTCTCTGAAATCAATAAAAATATATTTTTTTGAAACAAGCAACCCGCAACCCTAATGGTTTAATTCTACAGAATTCTACACAATGCAAGTAAGGACATCGTTTGCAAGAAATTCGGAAAAAAAGTATTTTATAAGAAGATAAGTACTTTCTTCCCAATTATAAAATGATCAAGGTAGTCCCTCAAGACTGATTTCCAAACACAGCAAAACAAAAGTGATCACTAGCATTTAACACAGTTTATCCTCCAGAAGGTGACCTACAAATACAACCTTGGAAATAATAGAGTGGGGTTTTCTCAGTATGTTTTCGTTTTTGAACAACTTTTCTTGGGTTTAAAGGATGACAGCCTCTTCGTCGTTTACTTTCAAATTATACATAGATTTCCCCAGATTTTTCTAGGGTCTGAACCAAAGCTGAAAAATTTCATGACTCAAATAAATTTAACAATACCTAACTCAGAACTTAAAGATGAACACAGTTATGAACATCTGCAGCAAAAGTAGCTTAGCAAGAGTAAGTCTGAAATAAATAATCATGCCAGTTCACTTTTACCACTGACTCTGTCATACCTTTCTAAGCCATTCGCATCCATTAAGATGTTTGCAAGTCCTAACTGCCACATAGAATATTTTATTATTTATCCCCATTTTACAGATGACACTATTGAGCCTTAGAGAGGTTAAGTAACTTGCCAAATATCACACAATAGGTGGCAAGATCACCAGAGACACCCAACCTGTGCAGTCCCAGAGCCTGCACTCTTAACCAGTATCCAAAACTATGAACAGCGAGATATTTACAAACCAAAGGAAAGTAGGAGAGTGTTCTGTCCTTCAGAAAAATTAGTCTTTCAAGTCTTGGGTTTTTTTCTTTTTTTAAATGTCAAGCTGCTACTCATTTCTCTACTTACTTTCCAGTGCCTCTGTTCTCCATCACCTTTAATAAAAACCAGAACTCAACCAAGCTAGCATCTGACATTTACACAGCTTTAATGATTGCAATAGACATGGACGGGTAAGATCATAGGCTCTGAGACTCGTAGTAAAAAAACAAGAGACAAGAAATTGTTGGTTCATAAGAGCCTCCCAGTTCAGCGAATTGCATTAAAATGGAAAAAGGTGCCATAACCGGTTTGGCTCAGTGGATAGAGTGTCGGCCTGCAGACTGAAGGGTCCCGGGTTCGATTCTGGTCAAGGGCATGTACTTTGGCTGCGGGCACATCCCCAGTAGGGGGTATGCAGGAGGCAGCTGATCGATGTTTCTCGCTCACCGATGTTTCTAACTCTCTATCCCTCTCCCTTCCTCTCTGTAAAAAATCAATAAAATATATTTTTAAAAAAAATAAAATAAAATGGAAAAAGGTGCCCTAGTTGGTTTGGCTCCGTGGATAAAGCGTCGGCCTGTGGACTGAAAGGTCCCAGGTTCAAGGGTATATGCCTGGGTTGTGGGCTCGATCCCCAGTGGGGGGCGTGCAGGAGGCCGCCAATCAATGATCCTCTCTCATCATTGATGTTTCGATCTCTCTCTCCTTCTTCCTTCTTCCTTCCTCTCTGAAATCAATAAAAAATATTTTTTTTAAAAAAATGGGAAAAGGTGCTCAAGCTCTCCAGCACACCAAAGAGGCCGAAAAGCAGCCCCCGCTTTTATTAAAGAAGAGTTCACTTAGGTAGTAGAGGTGGACACTTTCTGCCTCTGGGCTGTCCCCCCCAAACTGCCACTTAAGTTCCTTTAACCCTACCTGAAAGGGAGTATTATAGGTTGAATTGTGCCCCCTAAATTCATATGTTAAAATCCTAAACCCCCGTACCTCAGAATGTGGCTGTACTTGGAAGTGGGGTCTTTAAAGAGGTCATCAAGTTAAATTGAGGTCATTAGGGTGGGTGCTACCGGTGTCCTTATGAGAAGAGGAGACTGGGGCCCAGATGGGCACAGAGCATGCGAGGACACAGGAGAAGACAGCCATTGACAAACCAAGGAAAGAGGCACCAGGAAGAAATCAAGAAATCGACCCTGCTGACACCCTGATCTTGAACTTCCGGCCTCTAGAATTATGAGACGAGTGTCTGTTGTTTAAGCCTCAGGGGAACTTGGTTATGGCAGCCCTAGCAAACAACACGAGGAGCAAAACATGCAAACAGAACTTGGATCTGCCTGATGCACTGGGAAAAGCACACAGTTTAGAAGTGATGGGGGTTCTGGTTCAAAGCAAGGTTACAACTTACTTACTGCAGAAACCCAGACAAGTGAATTAACCGTGCTCCGCTTTAGCTCCCTTACCAATAAACTGAAAAAGATCTCGAATGCCATCGGCCCCAGGATCCCATGAGAATACACGGAAGTGAAGTGGCCTACGAGAAACTGGCCCTGTGCTGGGCACCTCGCACATGTTAAGGCCTCCAGTGCTTACAGCTGCTCCTCAAGGCAGACGCTACTGTCACTAGTTACAGTGACTCCGGCAGAAATCTGGTTAGATACGTGATTTGTCCCTCTGGGTGGCCTGCAGGGATCGGGCTGAAACCCGCAGTCCAATGCCGCCTGCAGCTCCTACCTGCCGCTCCCGCTCATCCAGGCCCCACTGTGCCTGCCGCAGGCTCGTGCCCCATCAGTCCTGATCGGGGGAGGCTCGTGCTGCCACAGCAACACTCACCAGCCATGAGCCCTGCATCTGGTGCCCTCCCAAGGGGAGTGGCCTGCGGGATCGGGCTGAAACTGGCTCTCCGACATCCACCGAGGGGTCCCGGATTACAAGAGGGCACAAGCCAGGCTGGGGGACCCCACCAGTGCACGATCGAGCTGGGGAGAGACCGCAGGAGGGCTCCAGGAAATGTCCGGCCCATCTTGCTCAGTCCCAATCGGCTGGACCCCAGCTGCAAGCTAACCTACCAGTTGGAGCATCTGCCCCCTTGGTGGTCAGTGTACATCATAGCCAGCGGTTGAGCATCCTTAGCATATCATTAGCATATTACGCTTTGATTGGTTGTTTGGTTGTTCTGCCATTTGGTATATTTGCATATTACCCTTTTATTATATAGGATTTGTACCTACTCCAGCACCATTCATACCCAGAGTGGATCATGGATAAATAAACCAGATTGGAGGGGGGTAAAGGGGCAGATGGCAGCATTCCTTAACCACCAGGAAGATGAATTCAGGAAGCAAAGGAAGCAAAACCCACCCACACAAAGCACCCCAGAAGGGAAAGGGCTTCAACATTCCCCGTGTCATCGAAGTGCCCCGCAGCCCCAGCGAGCAAGCACTAGCACTCCCATTTCACAGAGGGGGGAATGGAGGCTCACCAGGAGTCCCGTCCAGGGCGGCCTTGGCACCCGCCAAGGTCAGGAGGCCTCCATCCTTGAGGTGCTTGGTGGCCAGGTGGCTGGAGATGGTGGACGTCCACATGCTCTGCTTCCACATGAGGTCGCAGTTTTTGAAGAGAGCTGAGGGAGGAAACACAGGTGGGCTCAGCCTCGGCGGGAGGAGCCTGACAGCTGAGTCGCTCAGGGCGAAGACACTGGGGAAGCACCAGCCTCTCCCGCCCGACGACGGGGTCTGGTACGAGCAGCAAGGGCTCTGAGGTCAGAGACGCAGGTTCGAATCCAGGCCACCAGTCCCAGCTTGCTCACCTGGAAACTGGCACATTTCAGCCAGCAAGTGCAGACTGTGAACAGTCTGCGGGACTGCCCATCAGAGAGGGTCCTGCTTTAGGTGGGCGTTAGGTTTGTTGTAGAACCTGCATGTCTAAGTCAGGTTTGACTGATGATAAAAAGCTGAGGGACCATTACCACAAGGACATAGAGGGCTTTCACAAAGCTTTCAGAGAGGGTCCTGCTTTAGGTGGGCGTTAGGTTTGTAATAGAACCTGCATGTCTAAGTCAGGTTTGACTGACGATAAAAAGCTGAGGGGCCATTACCACAGGACATAGAGGGCTATCACAAAGCTAAGGTGGGCGTTAGGTTTGTTGTAGAACCTGCATGTCTAAGTCAGGTTTGACTGATGATAAAAAGCTGAGGGACCATTACCACAAGGACATAGAGGGCTTTCACAAAGCTTCATCATTTTCAAGGCCAAAAGTTTAATGCTGGCTTTAAAGACCCTTTCAAAGAAAGCTGAGCCCTGGCCAGTGTGGCGCAATAGTTAGAGCGTCGGCCCACACACCGAAGGGTTGCGAGTTCGATTCCGTTCAAGGGCACATATTTGGGTTGCAGGGGTGCTCCCTACCCCCGGTTGGGAGGTAACCAGTCGATGTGTCTCTCTCACATTGATGTTTCTCTCTCTCTTTCTCCCTCTCCATCCCTCCCTCCATTCCACTCTCTCTGAAAAGCAATAGAAAAAATATCCTCAGGTGAGGATTAACAAAAACAAAAAAAGCTGAAATGACAACATTTCACACTTACTATAACTCTCTGGCCTCGCTAAAAATGCAAGAAGAAGTGGCGACGGGTAACTTTGGCGGCTGGGCGGGCGGCCGTCCCGTCCAACCCCCCCACCACAAGGCACAAAGATCCCAGTGAGGCTGTGCCCATGACCCAGGAAGGAAGCCCCCATCCAGCGGGGGTCTTCCCCCAGGGGGACAACCAGGAATCGCGTTTCCCTGCAGAAAAGGACTAGAAAAAAACTGATGGACCCACACTTACCACTCCTTGTCCCCAAAATACACCAAGGGCCATCAGGGTGTTTTGCCCAAACCCCACAAAATATCACTTTCACATTCAAGTGTGGTTCACAGAAAATCGATTCCTTTTTACACGGCTTTGGCTAATACATGTAGAAGGAATGACAGAATTAGGACAGTACCATTCTCCAATGCCGGAAGCCAATTCCAGCAGGTCATACTTGCAAGAGTTTCATCAAAAGGTTGATGGAACTTGGGGACTCAACCGGGTTGAGTCACACATGCAGTCACCTGTTGGGAATGGCTGAGGGCATTTCCCCAAACCTGAAAAGGGATGATTGCTTGGCTGCCAGACAGCTCAGGGCATCTGAATCTACATGTTATTGCCTCCTACTGGCCAAACACCTGAACAGCCATAGGCTAATTCCCCCAAATCTGACAATGCTTCTGTATACGAAACCCTGACCCTTTGAAGTGTATCTCTCTGCCGCGCCTCAGGACAAATTGTGTTAATGAAAACCATGGGGTCCTGAGACTAGAATTTAGATCTTAGTTTCCTTTAAGCTAAGCTCCTCTGACCCCCAAATGCCTTTCAAAATTATGCTTCGTCTCTGGACTCCTATTTAATCTACACACAGCCTTCTCCAGATTGCTGAACCCTTCTTGATGCTAGGACAAGAACCCTGGCACTCCAACCCCCACTGGAATCACTGACTCAGGCAGGGATAATCCATGGATGCTTAAAACCCTTAGATTTTATAGAAATCTGGGATTCTCGAGGTGTTTGGGAAGAGGATATTCACACTCAATGCCAAAGCACCGTCCCACGGGTCACTTACTAATTGCAAACAGAAAACGGACCTTTACAATGGAAGCCTATCGGCTGCCACCTTAACCCATCGGCAAACGGGGCATCACCGGGGGTGGTAGGGCCATCTGACACGGTGACAGTCCCACTGGGATTAGTAAGAAGCACACATGACTCAGGAAGAATTCTCGCCTCCAAGATGCTTAACCGGATCCTAAGCAAGTCCCAGACGTAAATTCCAGTGCACCGGAAATACTCGGGCTGGATGAACCAGGTGAAGACACCTTAGAGCAGCGCTCCTCAACCTGTGGGTCGTGACCCCTTTGGGGGTCGAACGATCCTTTCACAGGGGTCGCCTAAGACCATCGGAAAACACATAAATTATATAT